ACATGTACTTGCAAGAAGTTTGAATATATGGGTATCTTATGTGCGCACTGCTTACTAATTTTTAATTTCTATAAAGCATTCGCTGATGAATACATTTTGAAAAGATTGACCAAGGATGTGAGGGAAAAAAATAAAAACCTATCAAGTAAGAGTTGTACTATCAATAAAAGTTCAGAATCTGAGGTAGTTTATACTAACAGTGTAATGCAAACTTGTTACAATCTTGCGCATCTTAGCAAATCTAATGAGAAGAGTCGAGAAATTATTCAAAGACATCTCGAAAATGCTTCACTTGAGTTGGATGACTATCTAGGAAAAGTAGCCATTATCTTCTTCATCATTCAACAAAAGGTGGCGTGAGAAACATAGAAGACGAGGTATTGGACCCTCTTAATGTTAAAGCTCCAGGTGTTCGCAAAGATCGTGTCCAAAGACTTTGGGAGAAACCCAAAAAAAGAAAAACTACTCAGTCAACTTGTGAGAAAACTAGCTAGTACAATTTCAAGTTTTATCTTCACTTAGTTTTAATTTTTTTTGTAATATATAATGTACTTAAATTTTATTTACATATAGATAAATCGGTAGAAGTTGTTGTTTCATAAACAAATAAATTATTTGAGGAGAATGTGTATACTCCATGTCAAGCAACTTCTCCTTTGCTGGAAGTCAATCAACATATTTGTTTTCTCTTGTTCTTTTTTTTTCAATGTAAATTCTCTTATGTCAAATAATTATTTCATATTATTAACTTGTATTGATTTTCTTTTTATTTGCAACGATGATATTTTTGATTTTGATATGAATGAATCAAATATTTCACTCTTAACTTTGTTACAGAGTGTTGAAAATACATCAGGGGTATGTAACAATATATTCTTATAGAGAAATTATATATAATTAGTAAGATTATACACTAATTACAAGATTTTCATTATTACAACAATTATACTCTACAACTACGTTGGAAAATAAGTACAATTGAGGCACTAGAATGCATATGGTTTTGATGATAGTTGCACTGCTATGCAGTTTTGGTAAGCTAGTGGAATCCTTTAGTTTAAATTTTGAATTCTTTTTGTAAAGAATAATATGGTATCAAATGTTATGAGATAGTTCTGAGGAGAACCTAGAAAATTAATTTCGTTGCTTTTAGATAGTAGCATTTACATGAATATAGCCCTTGAGTAAACTTTTTTATTTGCAATTTTTATATTTAAAATTTCAAGAATGTGTGCAATTTTTATGTAGAAAGATAAAAAATTAGCTTGAGATGCATAATGATGCAGATTTTGTATAGTTCTTATGTATATTGAGCTGGTTAAATGGAGTTTGGAGCGTAAAGGGTATAAAATATTAACAAAAATATTAAAACGGTATATAAAATTTTAAATTAATCAAAATGGCAAAAATCGTTGGAACAACATTGATTTACTCCACCGGAAAAATGCAGCGATTTTGCTAAATGTGATTTTTTAAAAAATTCAAATGGCTACCTTGGCAGCGATTTTTATTTTTTTTCTAAAAAATAATATTTTTTTCATTTTAATTTTTTTTAAAAGAAAATTGCTGCCTTTTTTTAAAAAAAAAAACAATGGTTTTCATTTTTTTTAGAATTTTTTTTTGTTTGAAAATCGCTGCCTCTTTAGAATATTTTTTAAAAAAATTAAAAATCGCTGCAGTAGCAGCGACTTTGCTTTTTCCGATGGAGTAAATCACTGTTGTTCCAGCGTTTTGCCGTTTTGGTTGATATAAAATTTTATATACCGTTTTAAAATTTTTGTTAATCTTTTATATCCTTTAGGCTCCGGACTCTGGTTAAATGTGCATAATTTGTAGTTTTCATGCATAGAAAGGTACTGTATATTTTGTGTAGTTAATATGCATATTGAGGTCCATAAATATGCGTACACTATCACCATTAACGACATTTAATTCTTAATTCCCGCTAAATATATATTTTTAGAAGCAATTGTCACTCTTTGTATGTGTTCCTAAAGCTTTTAGCAACATTGATTCTAATGACACTTAACTAATGCAGATAAAGACGTTAGCACTCTTTATTAGTGTCAATATTTAATGCCGTTAAAAATTGTTTTTTGTTGTAGTGATAGTTTTTGTAGTTTTATGCATAGAAATTAAGTGCATTAGGTTGATGTTCGTGTGCATGTAATATATTTTTGACGAAGATTTTTTCTTGATAGAAGCTACTTTGAAAATATAAAAAGAGAAGCACTAAAATTAAATCAATCCAAACACTTTTATCTCTTTTATCATAATGTTGGATAATGCTAGATAGAGGTGGATTCAATATTTAGAATTAGTAACTAAGTTCGCCGATTATGGGTATGAAAACAACAATTGTATTTCAAGTTAGTGTTAAAAAGATAGTTAAACTATTTAAACATTACATTATTTATTATGATACATATAAATATAATATTAGTCGACTTTAGTTAACAATAGATACTTGTAGTTAAAAAAATAACATGTATAATTTGTTTATTGAGTGGATATGAACACCCAATGGGTGTAAATTTTCCTTTCTGTGATATGTTATTAAACATGCATATTATACCATGAATAAATTCAGCATTACATAGTACTTCCTTTATTGTGTATTTTATATTGTTTATTTGTAAGAGTACTAATCAACGAAGAAAATTGAAAATTCTTAAAAAAAAGATCAATTAAATATAGTAGACATACTCTTACTATATATCTACTCAAATTGTGTTCGTTCTTTCCATATTTTCTTTAAATCTTTAAAATAATAATTGACTATTCAGAAAATCTTCAATTTAATTTTAATTGGGTATTCTTAGTTTTTTTTTTTTTATAAACTTGAATTGTAGGATAGGTTTTAAAATTGTTGGCTAACATTATTTTTTGATTGGAAGAGAAAACAATGTATGGTTCATAAAATGTTTGTTACATTATTTTATTATTAATTGCAAGACAAAATAATGCAGCTCTCTCCTTACAACATTTACTCTTTTATTATTTGATCAAAATATTGGATAAGTTAAAAAAATTGTTGTTAATTTCGACATAAAAAAGGTGAATGGGAGTGGGCTCTTTATGAAGCTCCGAATTCAAAATTATTTCATAGTTTATTATTTGACATGTTTTTTTTTGCATACTTTGAACTTCAATTTTAAATGAGAAATTTTCAAATTATAAAAATAAAGGTCATAATGTGGATAAGATTCTAATACTATATAAATAAACATGGTAATTTATCCACGTTTTGCGTGGGTATAAATAATTTTTCTAAATATTTAAATAATCTTTCCAATAAATGACTGATAGAAGAAAATAATAAATAAGTTTTAGTAGGTTTATAGGATATTTTAACAAAAATTAAATGATTTAATATTATCATATATCGCAAAAATTGTAAATATATAACTAATGATAAAAAAATATCTTGATATTTAATCACTTTTATCTTTTACATAATTTATCATAATATATGTATCTGATAAGTTTATGGTTAGAGTAACTCTTTGTGAAAAAATATCATGTGCATGTTTTTGGTAATCAATATTAGTACCCGTTTGAAATGACTTATTTTAGGTGCTTTTAAGCCAAAATAACTTTTTAAGCAATTTTGAAGTGTTTGGGTAAAGTTAAAAAGTGCTTATAAGCACTTTTTTAAAGTCTAAATAACAAAAATAAGTCAAAAGTCATAAGTTAGAAATCCTAACTTATGACTTTCGGCTTATAAGTCATAAGCCAAAAGTCAATCGAAACAAGCCCTTAGTTATAAATAAGTTAAGACCGTTAAAAATTGTACAACACCATAACATAAATAATTTTTTTAGTGTCTTGGGTCAAATGTTCACCACTTTTCGTTACTGTTACTTTGTTACTCTAACAAAATTTATAGAAGGACCTTCTAGGTGCTTCATCAATGCAACTTTACGATTTTTCCATAAATATGTATGTCACACCCTTTTAGCGCACATAAGGATTTTTCCAATTTAAGTGACATTATTGATTAGAGATTATTTTTTTCGGAGTCGCTACTTAGAATTGAGTTGTGGTGTTCCAAGTCACCTTTTTTTAAATCTCTAATCAAAAGAAAATGACTCTTTATTTGGTCTGCGAACCAGACGGACAATGAATTCTGTTGACCAAGGAAAAGGTATTAGGCATCCCTCGAGTCCCCTGATTCCAGCATGGTCAATTTTATTGTCTTCTACCTATTGTTAAATTATTTGTAGATATATTTTATATGCTACAGTTTCACTCATATTTTTTATTGTAGAACTTTTATTTGATTTCAACCTATATGCATAACAACATTCTCGATTTCGATATTTTGAGGCATAACTGTCTTTTTTCATCATACTAAGTAAACTTATTTTTATAAGTCTCTATTTTAAATTAATAAAATTTAATTATATAAATAGATGAGGTGTATCACCACATCCTTGAGTTTATTTTTAATTGTCTAAAAAAAGGTGTGCAACCGCATTCTTAATTGACACAAATCTTTTCAAAAGGTGTATAAAAGTTTGTTTAACGTTAAAAATAATTATTTTCCTTAATAAAGCTAAAACAACTTATTCAATACAAATTATTATTATTATTAACTCCGATTAAATTTGTGTAAGATCCAAGAAGTTAAATTTAAATAGTAAATGGAATGATATGGCTTATGAAATAAGCTTCCTTCGATGAAAATTTCAAAAAGTTAACACCAACTAAAATTGTATAACAATCTGTAGTAATTCAATCTATCATAAGCAAAAAATTATTATTTTAATTTTTCAAAACTCAATGTACTAACTCTAAATTAATTTTTCATATTCAATGAAATTCTACTTGACATTAACTAAAAAGTACTTATTCAAAGCATTAAACAACAATAAATAACAACAAAAATATATTTAATTTCAAATTAAATTATTTCTAAATTATTTCAATCAAATTATGAATGAAAGAAAACTGTATATAAAAAAGTATCATAAAATTACATCAATTTCATGATTAAATTAAACAAATAAAGATAAAATTTTAACCTCAAATAGAGAGAATAAGTACCGCAAAATTTTGACTGAATTTTTATTAAAACACCCACGAATATTTTTGTATATGTGTTGTATTTAGGTATTTGTGCGTTTTGATACTTTGGGTCGCTGATTTTTTCTTTTTGCTGCGTTTGTGTAGATTTTTTTGTTTTGGTGTTGTGCGTATATAGCAGTGTATATATGTGCAGATTTTGTATTTCCTTATGATGTGTGTGTCGTGTATGATGGGTTTGTTTGAGATAATTGATTTTTTCTTTTATTTGTTATCGTGTTGTAATTTATAGGGGAGTGCAGATGAGGTTGTGTAGTCGTGTACGGTGGGGCGTGTTGTTCATATTGTAGTTTATAGGGGTATGGGTGTAGTGAGTAGAAACGAAAGCGGGGTAGCGGTTGACTATATCATATATTTATATAAAAGAAAATTCTAGGTCTGTCTATGTGGCACCATCATAAATCAGGTTTTCAGGTTAATTTTTTTTTTAAAAAAACTATCCTCCCTTTCATGAATAATTGTGAATTTTATGAAAAGTTGCAACTTTTATGAAAAATTATGACTGTTATGAAAGATGTAACTTTTTCAAAGAGTTGTGACTCTTTCGATAAGGCACAATACACATTTATTCATACTACCCTATGTTTTCTATGAATAGAGAAATTTCATGCCATTATAATTTGAAGGTTTCCCGCCTTCTCTGTAGGGTAGTCAAATTCATATAAATTAATTAAATTTTTAAGTTTGTTTTATTCTGGATAGTTTTCATGGAGATTAATCTTTACAATAATTCATAGTGATTCATGTAACTATGACAATTTTTTTTTCTATTTTGATGATCTTTTTTTAACCTGTTAAAGTTCAACAAGGACTGAAAATTGATCTTTTTATTTGTCTCTTTCTACAGGTTACTTTGTATAAACAAAGAAAAGTGACTTCAATTGCAATGCGACATTACCATTCTTAAAGCTCGTAGTGCACAATTCATAACGCTGTTGAAATGGTTGATAGTTGAATTCATTACATTTGGTTCTGTAGTAAGCAAATATTTTATTTTATGCCACTATTATTTGTATGTTTTTTTAAAAAAAAATTCAAATACATTAATTAAGCTTCTTATAAAGTGTGTTCATTTCTCAAAGTTTTCTTTCTCCTTTTTCATGAAACTTAATTTTTTGCTATCATAGTGATTTATGTATCTATTTCAATTTTTTTTGATACTTTTTTTACTTCTTTTAGAATTATGTTCAAAATTTCAGTAAGGATGATTGAAAATTTATCTCTTTTGTCCCTTTCTACAGGTTTTCATCATATACTTTTTGAGAAAACTGCTTATGGGTTGTGCTATATATGATAGCACATAACAACAAAATATGCGGTAACTATGGAACCAATGATGAAGTTTGAAAAGAACCAAAATTATTTATCTCTTGCTTGTCACAGTTAGTATATTACTTTGATTGTTTTTTTAGGTGCAATCATTTTGTATGCCATTGCACCATTCGTACAATATTTGTATAGAGACAATTCGTCCGCATCTTTTATCACAAGTTAACTAATTTATCATATTTCTTCTTCTCTTTTTTTTGGGCATAATAAAAGATCAAGTTTTCGTGAAACTAACAAATGTCCAAATTATACTATAACAAAAATATTTTTTATCGGCAATAAAAATGTACGTTCACGAAGAGTGCTACAACATTCACTGGCACCAATTAAATTGTCATTGGATTCAATGTTGCTATAGACTTTAGGGGCATTTATACAGATTACCAGTTGCCTTTGAAAATACATATTTATCGATAATTAAGATATTAATTATCATTAGGGCATCTCCAACCGATTCTCTATTTTACTCTCTTAATTTAAAG